GATCTGGGTTACAAAAAAACTACCCAAACATTGGGTTGTTACATCTGAACCGGGATCTGGGTTACACAAAAAACTACCCAAACACTGGGTTGTTACATCTGAACCAGAATCTGGGTTACACAAAAAAACAACTACCTAAACATTGGGTTGTTACATCTGAACCAGGATCAGGGTTACACAAAATCTACCCAAACATTGGGTTGTTACTGTACATCTGAACCAGGATCTGGGTTACACAAAAACTACCCAAACATTGGGTTGTTAAGTCTGACCCAGGATCTGGGTTACACAAAAACTACTCAAACACTGGGTTGTTACAGTAGGTCTGACCCAGGATCTGGGTTACACAAAAAACTACCCAGACACTGTGTTGTTATGACTGATACAGGATCTGGGTCACACAAAATCTATCCAAACATTGGTTTGTTACATCTGAACCAGGATCTGGGTTACACAAAAACTACCCAAACACTGGGTTGTTACTTCTGACCCAGGATCTGGGTTACACAAAAACTACCCAAACATTGGGTTGTTACATCTGAACCAGGATCTGGGTTACACAAAAAAAAAACAATCCAAACATTGGGTTGTTACATCTGAACCAGGATCTGGGTTACACAAAAACTACCCAAACACTGGGTTGTTACTTCTGACCCAGGATCTGGGTTACACAAAAACTACCCAAACACTGGGTTGTTACTTCTGACCCAGGATCTTGGTTACACAAAAACTACCCAAACATTGGGTTGTTACATCTGAACCAGGATCTTGGTTACACAAAAACTACCCAAACATTGGGTTGTTACATCTGAACCAGGATCTGGGTTACACAAAAACTACCCAAACACTGGGTTGTTACTTCTGACCCAGGATCTGGGTTACACAAAAACTACCCAAACACTGGGTTGTTACTTCTGACCCAGGATCTTGGTTACACAAAAACTACCCAAACATTGGGTTGTTACATCTGAACCAGGATCTGGGTTACACAAAAACTACCCAAACACTGGGTTGCTACTTCTGACCCAGGATCTGGGTTACACAAAAACTACCCAAACATTGGGTTGTTACATCTGACCCAGGATCTGGGTTACACAAAAACTACCCAAACACTGGGTTGTTACTTCTGACCCAGGATCTGGGTTACACAAAAACTACCCAAACATTGGGTTGTTACATCTGAACCAGGATCTGAGTTACACAAAAACTACCCAAACACTGGGTTGCTACTTCTGACCCAGGATCTGGGTTACACAAAAACTACCCAAACATTGGGTTGTTACATCTGAACCAGGATCTGGGTTACACAAAAAAAAAACAATCCAAACATTGGGTTGTTACATCTGAACCAGGATCTGGGTTACACAAAAACTACCCAAACACTGGGTTGTTACTTCTGACCCAGGATCTGGGTTACACAAAAACTACCCAAACATTGGGTTGTTACATCTGAACCAGGATCTGGGTTACACAAAAAAAAAACAATCCAAACATTGGGTTGTTACATCTGAACCAGGATCTGGGTTACACAAAAACTACCCAAACACTGGGTTGTTACTTCTGACCCAGGATCTGGGTTACACAAAAACTACCCAAACACTGGGTTGTTACTTCTGACCCAGGATCTTGGTTACACAAAAACTACCCAAACATTGGGTTGTTACATCTGAACCAGGATCTTGGTTACACAAAAACTACCCAAACATTGGGTTGTTACATCTGAACCAGGATCTGGGTTACACAAAAACTACCCAAACACTGGGTTGTTACTTCTGACCCAGGATCTGGGTTACACAAAAACTACCCAAACACTGGGTTGTTACTTCTGACCCAGGATCTTGGTTACACAAAAACTACCCAAACATTGGGTTGTTACATCTGAACCAGGATCTGGGTTACACAAAAACTACCCAAACACTGGGTTGCTACTTCTGACCCAGGATCTGGGTTACACAAAAACTACCCAAACACTGGGTTGTTACTTCTGACCCAGGATCTTGGTTACACAAAAACTACCCAAACATTGGGTTGTTACATCTGAACCAGGATCTTGGTTACACAAAAACTACCCAAACATTGGGTTGTTACATCTGAACCAGGATCTGGGTTACACAAAAACTACCCAAACACTGGGTTGTTACTTCTGACCCAGGATCTGGGTTACACAAAAACTACCCAAACACTGGGTTGTTACTTCTGACCCAGGATCTGGGTTACACAAAAACTACCCAAACATTGGGTTGTTACATCTGAACCAGGATCTGGGTTACACAAAAACTACCCAAACACTGGGTTGTTACTTCTGACCCAGGATCTGGGTTACACAAAAACTACCCAAACACTGGGTTGTTACTTCTGACCCAGGATCTTGGTTACACAAAAACTACCCAAACATTGGGTTGTTACATCTGAACCAGGATCTTGGTTACACAAAAACTACCCAAACATTGGGTTGTTACATCTGAACCAGGATCTGGGTTACACAAAAACTACCCAAACACTGGGTTGTTACTTCTGACCCAGGATCTGGGTTACACAAAAACTACCCAAACACTGGGTTGTTACTTCTGACCCAGGATCTTGGTTACACAAAAACTACCCAAACATTGGGTTGTTACATCTGAACCAGGATCTGGGTTACACAAAAACTACCCAAACACTGGGTTGCTACTTCTGACCCAGGATCTGGGTTACACAAAAACTACCCAAACATTGGGTTGTTACATCTGACCCAGGATCTGGGTTACACAAAAACTACCCAAACACTGGGTTGTTACTTCTGACCCAGGATCTGGGTTACACAAAAACTACCCAAACATTGGGTTGTTACATCTGAACCAGGATCTGAGTTACACAAAAACTACCCAAACACTGGGTTGCTACTTCTGACCCAGGATCTGGGTTACACAAAAACTACCCAAACATTGGGTTGTTACATCTGAACCAGGATCTGGGTTACACAAAAACTACCCAAACACTGGGTTGTTACATCTAAACCATGATCTGGGTTACACAAAAAACTACCCAAAGTTTGGGTTGTTACTTCTGACCCAGGATCTGGGTTACACAAAACTACCCAAACACTGGGTTGTTACATCTGAACCAGGATCTGGGTTACACAAAAAACTACCCAAACATTGGGTTGTTACTTCTGACCCAGGATCTGGGTTACACAAAAACTACCCAAACATTGGGTTGTTACATCTGAACCAGGATCTGGGTTACACAAAAACTACCCAAACACTGGGTTGTTACATCTGAACCAGGATCTGGGTTACACAAAAAACTACCCAAAGTTTGGGTTGTTACTTCTGACCCAGGATCTGGGTTACACAAAACTACCCAAACACTGGGTTGTTACATCTGAACCAGGATCTGGGTTACACAAAAAAACTACCCAAACATTGGGTTGTTACTTCTGACCCAGGATCTGGGTTACACAAAAACTACCCAAACACTGGGTTGTTATATCTGAACCAGGATCTGGGTTACACAAAAAACTACCCAAACATTGGGTTGTTACATCTGAACCAGGATCTGGGTTACACAAAAACTACCCAAACACTGGGTTGTTAAATCTGAACCAGGATCTGGGTTACCCAAAATCTACCCCATCATTGGGTTGCTACATCTGAACCAGGATCTGGGTAACACACAAACTACCCAAAAACACTGAAAAAATAACCCGAAAATTGACCCAAATGGTTTAACCCAGGATTTGTGTTGAAAACAATAACCCAAGATTATTTAGTGTAGTAACTAATTTTACTGTTGATTACTTGTGTGATCTTGTCCATGTAGAGTAGTGTGCCTTTATTGTGGCTTGTACAATAATTCCTCAAAAGGGAGGTTTAGTGTCACAATGTGTTTGTTATGTGACTTGTTTATTACAAATGCACAGACATCCCTCACCTCCTCTGAAGACATTTAAACACAAGAGCAAAAAAAAAAGAGGGAGCGAAAGAAACAGCACAAATGAAGACGTCGATCGGAGCATATGGATGCCATTTGTAAGAAGCGGTGAGAATGTATAGGTCAGTCTGCCCTTTGGTATCTCTCTATCCATCTGTTTTCACATTACTTGCAAATTATAGCGTCCTCTAGACCCAAATGAACATAAATCAGCACCACGAACGTGCAGAAGTTTTCCCCGCTGTCATAAAACAATGATTTAGGGTCGGTCTTGTGAAAATATGCCGCTGCGAATTCGCCCCTGCGCCCCAGCAGTAGGAACACAAAGCACCATCTCATCGGAGTAATTTATGGCCTCCCTGGGAGATGTGGATGATTAGGGGCTAGGCCACCAACAGGCAGAAAAACAGTAGGAACTCCAATAAGACCCACTGGAAAACGTGGGTCAAATTTATCAAACAATTCAACAAAATCAATTTCTGTTTGGAAAGAGTTGGGCAAGGGGAGATATATGGTGTTTTTAGTATACCGGAACATCCCAGGAACATTTGCTCACAGTGCATTTGTGTGTTTTGGAGTTTCAAAATCAAATAGTCTTAGGCTGAGGACATGTGATGTGTTGGACACCATGGAAGCCAAATCAAATATACAATTGGACGATCCAGGATTTTAGGAAATAAAATTGAACGTTCCAGATATTTCGGAAAATGATGTCACCGTAAAATTGTTCGATTTCTGGAAGGGAGCACTTTTCATGGACTGAGTGTTTTGGACGCTCACAGACAGTGACTGCAGAAACGTTCTACCATGTGGATGCTGTCTCTGGGGGGGCCGTTGCATTTACAAGCCTCCTTGTTGTTGGGCTGGAGGTGGCAGGCTAAACTTCACAGGACCTTCCTGGACCATGGCTATTGTGATTAGCCTCATGTTCCTGCTGAAAGGAGGAAATGCAGGGCTGAAAACATGCTTGTAACAACCAGCTACTTTTATAGAGGTGAGAACCTCGTCAGTGCAAACAAGGATCTTCACTCACAAAACCAGTGTATGTGTGAGTCCTCCAAAAATAACCACAAGCTGAAACAAATTTGTTAAGGTCATCAGTTGGATTTAGGATCAGTTCAGAATTTACATTCACATTACATTCATACATATACTCGTCACTTTTATGCATAGCGACTTACGAAGAGGAACAAAAGTGATTTGTTGAAGTGTCAACAATATTTATAATGTAAATGCTGGGTTTATTTGACTAGATTAGGAAGCAAGCTGGAGTCATATGATGAATCATTAGCCATCATAACTGTTGCATAGGCGGAGAAAGCGAGATGAAGGAGAAGTTCACCACTGCACCACATCTGGAGCAACCCTCGCAATCACAATAAAGTGCCGGTGGAAGGTGACTGACCTTAAACAAATGGTGATTTCATTGCGAGTGGATACACATGCTAAACATCTTATTCTAGGCTTGTCATGTCTGCATCCACCTGAACTGCTGCGGTGCAGGTACTGTTTTTAGATCTATTTTAACAACTGCTGCCGCAAGTCCCTGGATGCTCATATGTTCTGTGTGTGAGGGCCGCACAAGATGTCCACAGCTTTCTCTCCACCACAGGTGTCTCTCTATCTCAGCATACATCTGGACAATGTTATCTGATACTGCCTCCTTAACTTCTTTCAGCAAAATAGTCTCCTCTGCGAGATCCATAGATAGTTCTGGTATTTAAAAAAAAAAAAAAAGAAAGAATGAAAGAGGGATAAATTAAATCGCTGCTTCTTCAGCCATTATATTCTAGACATATCCAAATAAAAATGTGTTCAACAAGCTGACAGAAGTCGATCCATTTCTTCAGGGCCGTGCACATACATTTTGAGGGGCAGTGGGGGGTGGTTGCTTGTTAACACAAATTATTCAGTTATTGTTACAGTTTTACATTTTTCATTTTTTACATTATTATTACAGTATTTTCCTTTTACAGCAAAAAAGGATGGGGGGGGGGTGTACTTAGGCTATTATTTTTATTAGATCGAGAGAGTACAATAATTTGATTAGACAAGCAGCTAATTCTAAGAACGTGGATATGTTGTACAAGTTGTTAGCACTAGTAGAAGACCAAGAGCACAACATTGCCAACATAAATGCACAAAAACAAACAAAAAAATAATGAATAATTTCGCAGATTCAACCACTGTCTATTATGGAAGCTTGTTTCCGCCACTGAATAAAAAAAACAAAAAAACAATAGCGACTTTTTATCTCAAAATTGTGAGATATGAAGTCAGAATTGTGAGAAATAAAGTCAGAAATGCGTGATATAAAGCCAGAATTGCGAGATATAAAGTCAGAATTGCGTGATATAAAGTCAGAATTGCGAGATATAAAGTCAGAATTGTGAGAAATAAAGTCAGAATTGCGTGATATAAAGTCAGAATTGCGAGATATAAAGTCAGAATTGCGAGATATAAAGTCAGAATTGCGAGATATAAAGTCAGAATTGGGTGATATAAAGTCAGAATTGCGAGATATAAAGTCATAATTGCGTGATATAAAGTCAGAATTGGGTGATATAAAGTCAGAATTGCGAGATATAAAGTCAGAATTGCAAGATATAAAGTCAGAATTGGGTGATATAAAGTCAGAATTGCGAGATATAAAGTCAGAATTGCGAGATATAAAGTCAGAATTGCAAGATATAAAGTCAGAATTGCGAGATATAAAGTCAGAATTGCGAGATATAAAGTCAGAATTGCAAGATATAAAGTCAGAATTGCGAGATATAAAGTCAGAATTGCGAGATATAAAGTCAGAATTGCGTGATATAAACTCAGAATTGCGTGTTATAAAGTCGCAATTCTAAGAGAAAAAAAACAGAATTGCGACTTTTTTCTCACAATTGCTAGTTTACATCTCGCAATAACACATAATTGTGAGTTTATATGTCGAATTTCTTACATCTTTTCTCAGAATTGTAAGATATAAACTCGCAATTGCGAGTCTCAAGCCAATTCTAAGGGGGAAAAAATACTAACTTTTTCCCCTCAGAATAGTTTATATCTCGCAATTCTGACTTTATAACACCGCATACAGTTCTCAAGCTCCTTCTCTCAGACAGCCTGGCGCGAACTGCGCAAATCTACATAACTGATAAAACTTTTAGTATTATCAGCAAAAATACTTTTAAATAAAAATGTGAAAATGAACTAAATTTATAAAATGCTCAATGTAATTGACAACATGAATTTCCTTCACATGCTTAATACAACTAGTAATGAATTATAATGAACATTAAACACATACCTGTACAAATCAACAAAAAAACACATAAGGCTGTCGTCACATGCAGTCTTTCCCACACAGCATACAGTTCTCAAGCTCCTGTTAGCAGATAATACAAAAAACTCTAGCACGTGGAAAAATGTCTACTTTAAAGCTTGCAAAAAGTCAGTTTACAAGGTTTAAGTTCGATTGACATTAACTGCATGTTTAGAACCTTGAAACTAACATTTATACATGCATAAAACAAAGTTTGCATCAACCAAAACCCGAAATGAGTGTTTAAAACTGACGCGCAAAATTACATTACCTTCTCTCAGACAGCCTGGCGCGAACTGAGAGAAGCGCATAAATTACGTCACAAAACCTGCGACCTCTTAAAGTGAAAGTACAGGTATTAACACCATGGCCTGAATACAACATACTGGCATGAATATTGACAATAAAACATATATTAAACACATAGAAGACAATGTAAATCAGGATTTGGTGACATTTCAACGTAAAAGTAAAGATAATTTCAACCTGGTTACATTAGTCAGTCAGGCGCTCTAACAAGGAGGCTAAAGACTGCAGCCTCTACTCTACTAGCCTTTACTCGCACAGCAACTACTAGCTGGCCTCCGTTACACTAAGCACCGCCCAGCACACCACAGCAGTATTCCCGAAAATACACGGATAATGTGACCCGGCATTTGTCCCGGGATTGTTTGATTTCGGTTCATTCACACTGGCAGATAAGGAACTCCCGCACACTATCATTACTTGCACTTTTTAATCAAGTTTATTCACACACAACGTTTCGGTCACACGACCTTCGTCAGGAGTATGATTCACACTGCCAGTGATTTGCCGGGATCTGTGAGTGCGTTCACACACACACAACCCGTAAAGATCCCGGAAAGACACACGCGCAAAGCTGGTGAACGATCTCAGCTACAGCATGGATAGTGAAGAGCTCCTGGTCTCTGCTTCGGTCCATTTTGCTCACATTTGTTCGTCCCTTCTTTGTTGATGACGAACACAAATTTTCTTCTAAGAGCAACAGAGTCGTGCGATGGCACGCGCGTCATCACTATGACACACCCCTTACGGCATTGGTCCTGCCTTTTGTTCACACAGCGCGTGTTCCGGGACTGATCTCGGAAATGTTACTGGGTCCCCAACCCGGCATCAATGCCGGTATCAATCCCGGGTCGTGTTTGCATTCACACAGAAGGCTTTCTGGCAATTTCCCGGGATCAACGCACTGTGTGAAAGGGGCTTAGGGGACGGCAGATGTTGAATGACCTCAGACTCCTTAAGAAATAAAGTCAGCTTTCTCCCTTCTTGTACATCGTCTCCATGTGTCTCTTCCAGTCCAGCTTTATCGAGCTGCTGTGGCTGGAGACCATCTCCAGTTTGATGCCCTGTATGGTGACCGGAATTGATTGTTTCCTCTTCCTCCTAAAATCCACAATCATCTCCTTGGTTTTTGAGATGTTAAAGGGATAGTTCACTTTGAAATTATTTTTTGGTATGTTTTAGCTTACCTCAAGGGCATCCAAGATGTAGTGTCTTTGTTTCCGCAGTAGTTTCAATTTTGATATTTTTAGGTCAAACCGTTCTTGTCTGTCAGTCATATAATGCAGGTCTATGGTCACCACCTCAAAGAGCATGCTCAGAGAAGTCCAAATTAAACATGATGACTCGTAAATATAAGTACACAGTGATGGCCTAAGACACGAAACGAGTGGGTTGTGTGAGAAAACGAACAGTAATTATTTCTTTTTTACCTCTTCTACTTTACCACGTCCAAGTGATCTGAGGATGCGGGTGCTTCGGTCTGCGCAAGCGCCGGAAAAGCACCAGAAGTTATCTCTCGCGCGGCAGCGAAAAAAATTCAACGTTGTCTGTTGATATTTCGAAATCGTCTTCCATTTTGATTTCTTGTATATCTAAATATGTTTAGATCTTCACAGTGAAAGGTAACTCTTCCAAAATCTCTGTGTAAACAATGAGTGACGTACACGCACGTACAACCACGTGTCTGTGGTTACAAGAGGTAAAAACTATATAAATACTGTTTTCTCACACAAACCGCTCGTTTCGTGTCTTAGGCCATCAGTGTGTACTTACATTTATGAGTCATTAAATCCTGTTTAATTTGGACTTCTCTGTGCATGCTCTTTGAGGTGGTGACCATAGACCTGCATTATATGACTGACAGACAAGAACGGTTTGACCTAAAAATATCAAAATTGAAACTACTGCAGAAACAAAGACACCTACATCTTGGATGCCCTTGAGGTAAGCTAAAACATACCAAAAATTAATTTCAAAGTGAACTATACCTTTAAGGTGGAGATGGTTGTGGTCGCTCCAAATCACAAAGTCCTTAATTGTTCACCTGTACTCCTCCTCCTAGCCTCCCTTAATTAGGCCGACAACAGAACATTTGTGGAGGAAGCAGCTGCCAGTACTGAGAAAGAGAAAAGGGGCCAGAACGGTTCCTTGAGGCACTCCCGTATTACTCAGGATAGTATTGAAGACACTATTCTGCAGATGCACATACTGTGGTCTGCAGGATAGATAGTTCATGCAACACAGGACCAATGATGAATCCACCTGAACTCTCCTCGTCTTCTCACACAGCAATCGAGACTTTTTTGTATTGTCGCGTGAGAATTCAAAGAATGTGAACCTCTCAGATGCATCAGGAGTGTCCAGGTGTGCGCATGGGTCCTCTATCTATAGCATGTAAATGTCATCTACACCCATGTTGGGCTGATATGAAAATGTGGAGGATCCATGTGAATTGACATGTTAGCCTTGATGAAAGAGAGGACCTGTCTCTCAAAGTTCTTCATAATATGTGAGGTGAAGTGCTACAGGTCTATAATCGTTGTGGTCGTAGGGGTGTCTCTTCCTGGGAACATGGCGGCATTTTTCACAACCATGGCAGAAAATCAATTTACTGCCCTAAACTCAGTTAAAGGGCACCTATTATGCCCCTTTTTACAAGATGTAATATTGGTCTCTGGTGTCCCTAAAATGTATTTGTGAAGTTTCAGCTCAAAATACCCCACAGTTAATTTATTATAGCCATTTAAAAAAGGTCATTTTGGGGCCTGCTTAAAAATGACCTGTTTCGGAGGTATACGGCTTTAAATGCAAATGAGCTGCATATCCCCGCCCTGCCTTTGGATGAGGGCGTAACTTGATACCTATGGCAGTCGGTAAGCAGAAGGGCTAAGAGAGTGAGAGACGCGCTGTTTTGAATGTCATTCAGCGTACTTTGAATCGGAATATATAAATAGCACGAAGAGACTCCGGCAGAATAAACAAATGAGAATGGACCAGTACGTCTCGGTATGGTTGTTTGATACATTTATGTACTTTAGCGTTGTAATCGCGTTCCCTTTGAAATGATGGGCATGTGCAACACACACACACAGACACACAAACACTAATGCTGGCGCAATTTTTTTGAAATTACATACACATACTGTGATAAAGTTTGCTACATACAAGCGAAATTACATTTATGCGAGGGACGGGGACCTGTGGCGTCATGTTTACTTGTCATACGGGTGCTTCTGTGGCAAATGTGAGGAGATGGCTAACATACAGAACAACAACATATATGCAGTTTTTAATACAATATCTTTAAATATATATAAACGTGTGGTTACACACTATACAAACAAGGTTTAAATTATATAGCCTACACAGACATCCTACGACGACAATTTAGACACATTTGTTGTTGAATTGGCTGACATTGACTGAAAAGACTATTTGCTCAAAAATCATAAAACACACTTACTGTTACTGGATGTGACGGTGGATCGCAAACAGTAGATGCCGATCCACACTTGAGGATTAACTTTTAAGCCACAACAACAGGATTAACCCACGAGTCCACGACAGAACACTTATGTTTCCAAGAGACATTACCAGCTCTCGTTGTTGAAACAATGGAGGATGATGTGTACAGATCACCGAGGGCGGGGTCTAGGCCACAGCCACACTGTCAATCAACCCCCTGTCTCCCGTTCTACGTCACAAAGAGTTGAATCTCAGAACAGCTCGTTCTGAGGCAGTGCATATGATTTATTGAGATTGTAAAAAAAACCACTGGGTGGATTTTTTATCATTCTAGGGTGGTTTTGCTCACACACTGTGCCAACACACATTTATGTTCAAACACCATGTAAAAGTGAATTTTCCATAATAGGTGCCCTTTAAAGGCAGTGCGATACAAACAAACCAAGTATTTTAATTTAGTAGTAATTTAGTAGTCTCTTGTAATAGTGTCTAAACCAGTACAGTATCTTCCTCCATCTCGTCCATTCTGCTTTTCACTTCCTGCTCTCCATCTGGGGCGAGTTGCATAAACTGCTAAGACTAGTCGTACAAGTTAGTCAGCAAATTTATTTCTTCAAGACTGTTCATAACTTTTTAAAGTTAGTTACATCAAAACGTACATTGGTCTGATTTGATACCAAACAGTAAGACTAATCACCCCTAACTAACTGCTAGTTGTTCAAGCTAGTTCTTAAGACACTGTCTTAACATAATGGCTATTTTTATGCAACTGAATCACCTGACTGCAAACAAGCTATTGTAAAACTGACTTGATAAGCACAAAGCTTTATCTTTCATTCTATCTGTCCAGCTTATCATTTTATAGGCGTAGAGTCAGAACTGAGTGGCTCAGGCAATCAACGGAGCCACCCGAGCAGAGAGGCTCATGGGAACACTCCTCTCCGTCATCTGTTTGGTCAATAAGTGTGGGTTCTGCATGACTGCTGGTTGATCTGGAAAAGCAGGCCCTCATATCTCAAACGCTCATGAAATGTCCAAAGCTCTTGAATACAGTCAATGTCTTTGCAGGAAACCATGCGTGCTTTATAACTGTTTGCATAAAGAGAGCCTCCTCTTGCTGGAAATATTTGTTTGTTGTGTGACATGAGCAGTCTGTTGTATCAGTTGTTCAAATTAAAATAACTTTGCATATTTTAAGCAAAGCTGAGCGACAACCGGGCACTACATTTCGTGTATTCAAAAGCCCAGGTGTGTTATGAAACACATGAGCCCACATTGCTGGATGAGCGAGAAGGAAAATTACGCTCCCAAAAATGTATCAGTTGGAAAAAATTCTGTCACGGAAATGACGAAATATGATAATTGAAGGGGGTGACTATGTGCTTTTGTAACACAGTCTCATCCCAAAAAGTCATATAACTGACGTTTTGGGACGTATTTTGACCATACGTCAATATCCGCCTTTTTAGGGCCCCCTTAAACGTCGGTAGATGCACGATCCCGGGCCGTCATACAACTGACGCTTTACCTTTAACGTCAGTTAGGTGACGGGTTAGGTTTAGGGTTAGGTTTAGGTATGGGGTAGAGTTAGGATCCCATAACCTCATCTACCGACGTTTAAGGGGGCCCTAAAAAGGCGAATATTGACGTATGGTCAAAAGACGTCCCAAAACGTCAGTTATATGACGTCTTGGGATGAGACCGGGTTGGCTTTTGCAGT